GATGGGAAAAAAAAATTATAATAAAAAATAAACTAAAAAAAAAAAGAGAAGAGGATAGAGAAAGATAGCAAGTGAACAATAGAGGGGATGTTAGTGAGAAACAGATATGGTTTATTATCTGTTGAAGATGACGTGTATAGTATTCTCAACTGGACTGGTCTGGGAAGTATTTCATGATGGGTGAAGTCTTTTAACAAGCAAAATGAGAAATAGTGATTGACTGTTTTAAAAAATAATTAGAATAATAATAATAATTATTGGGAAATGCATGGAAAAGACATTGAATGATAAAGCGGGGAGATTGATGTCTCTGTATTGACTGACATGCATGGCATTCCCTTTTGAAAAAGCAATGGAAGTCAATGTAAAGTTATATGTAATCCAATGTAATATAAAGAAGATTATGATGATAATATAAATTAAAAAAAATACAGTGGGGGAATACGGTTGACACCTGTATATAATACTACAAATGACTAAGATGACAGGTATACTAATTAATCATTAGCATTAATGATTAAATTATTTCATCATTACACCTTATATTTATGTACTGAAAATCACATTGTAAAAATTTTATGTTAATAAAAATTAATAATAAAAATAATTAAAAATGTTTAAATTTGAGGGACCAGCAGATAGCATAATGGTTATGTCACCAGACTTCCACATAGTTGACCACAGTTCGAATCCCAGACCCAGTGACTTAAACTCACCCCAGATGTGTGTGTATGTGTCCAAAATCCTGAGAAGAGAATAGAGGAAAAGAGATTGTGGTATGGCCATCCCACCTGGGAGGGGGATTTCCTGCTTTCTGTCTCTCTGTCTGTTTCTCCAAAGAGAACACACACATTATAGCAAAAATCTCTCAAAAAAAAAAGTTTAAATTTTTATTTTTATTTAGTCATTATAATCCAGCATTGAATAAAAAGACTAAGCTGATTACTTCTTTTGATAAATAAAATATAGACATAAACATTATATAAACATACATATATATTATACATATATATTATACATATGGTATTAAAATTTCTTGGTAGGGGCATAGAAAAGATGTTTAAAAATGTCTCCTTTCAGGGTAATAATGACAAAAAAAAGGTATAGAAAAAAATAATGGAAAAAAAGGTATAGCTAGAAGGCTCTCTATTCACAGCCTCCTATGGTGAGTATGCAGAACCCAACACACACACATGCACGCACACACTCACACACACGCACACACACCTGGACTCACATTCACACACACACACACGTACACACACACACCATGCCATCAATAACCTGACTACCTGTTAGGACATCACCACCTGATTTTCTTGGGGAGGGATATTTCTCCACTCTTCCACCTTGGAGAAATAACTCATCTCTCATCCCTTACTGTTTGACAATCAGGACCAAACAGAATTACATGAGAGCTGAAATCAGGTTCAGTCACACATCCAGAGCAAAGCTCCCTTCTGTGCTCTCTGCTGTTCATACAGCACCATTACCTGATATGTGTTTGCGCTGGATTCGAGCCACTTTGGCCTCCTTGGCTTCCTGCAGTTTAGACCACTGGGCATTCAAGTGCTTCATGTTCACTTCATTTTGATTCTCATCCCGCTTCTTCAGCAGCTCTTTTAGAATTTCCAGGCGAATCTCCTGCAATCTTCAAGTAAATACAGAACAGAAACAGGGATGTAACATGTCAAGCAGCATCATTCTCCTAGAAAGCAAGAGAAGAGCTGCCACCACTGGGACTGTTTCTGTGGGCCAGTGTTATGCTATATTTGTGTGTGTGTGTGTGTGTGTGTGTGTGTGTGTGTGTGTGTGTGTTTCTTCATTAAACTTTTTAGTGGGTCTCAAAATTCTGTGGCAGACTTTCAGTCAAGTTGTTTCCATTAAAATGTACTCATTTTAAAAACAAATAACTTAAAACTGTCACACACACACACAAAAGAAAAAATGGTCCACAAAACACTTTCCTCCCCTTCTGAAGGTTTTACGATGCATTGTTATCGTTAACCAGTCTTTTACCATTAACCTTAAATGACCACGTGAGACACAGTTCTGAGACTGTCCTTCCACCACTGATTGAGACTGGGTGGCAGGAATTAGAGATACTCATTCAGCCTTGCGAGCTTTCTGGGCAGGCTTGGTGACCTTGGCAGCCCCAGCAGTTCTTGTCCACGGCTCTGATGACATCCACAGCAACTGCCTCTCATATCACACACAGCAAAACGACCCAGAGGAGGAGAGTCAGAGAAGCTCTCAACACACACGGGCTTGCCAGGAACCATATCAGCAATGGCAGCATCACCGGACTATTTAGGGCCGTCTTCCAGCTTTTTACCAGAACGGCGATCAATCTTTTCCTTCGGCTCAGCAAACTTGTAAACAATGCGAGCTGTTGTGACAGTCTAGTCAGGGACGCGGCCAGCACTGATTTGGCCTGGACGGTTCAGGATAATCGCCTGAGCAGTGAAGCCAGCTGCTTCCATTGGTAGGTCATGTTTGCTGTCACCAGCAACACTGCCACACCAAACATCTTTGACAGACATGTTCTTGACATTGAAGCCCACATTGTCCCCAGGAAGAGATTCACTCAAGCTTCATGGTGTATTTCAACAGACTTGACTTCAGTTGTCACACTGACTGGTGCAAAGGCAACCACCATACCAGGTTTGAGCACACCAGTCTCCACTTGGCCCACAGGGACAGTGCTAATACCACCAATTTTGTACACACCCTGGAGAGGCAGATGCAAGGGCTTGTCAGTTGGACGAGTTGGTGGCAGGATGCAACCCAGAGCTTCAAGCAGTGTAGTTCCACTGGCATTGCCATCTTCACGGGTGACTTTTCATCCCTTGAGCCATGGCGTATTAGCACATGGCTCCAACATGTTGTCACCATTCCAATCAGAAACTGCCACAAACCCTACCGTGTCAGGATTGTAGCCAATTTTCTTAATGT